GTTTTCTCCTTCACAAATGCTGCCAGACCTGCTGAGCTTTTCCAGCAACTTTGTTTTTGTTCCTGATTTACAGCATCCGCAGTTCTTTTGGTTTTTATTAAAGGTAGGTGATGTGGGGCTGAAGTTGGAGGTCACGGGGGGAGGGGTCAGACAGCTGGAAGTCAGGTCAACTGGCTGGGTCCCAGCAGGAATTCTCCATGCCCTGAATCAGTCCTTGCCTTTGATCAAGGGACTCCAGCCCCTCACCCCATGTAATGATAAGCAATTGGAGGGTCTGGTAACAGGCTGGATTGCGTCTGGCAGTGGCACAGTGGGATGAGGCTTTAAATGGTCCTTAATCAGTCTCTCAAGGATCTCAGTTGACAATGGAGCATGAGGTTTACCGTGAGCCTTTCTGCCCAGAGCTGAGTTCCGGTTGGATTGAGAAAGTGTGAGTTAGGTACACCACAGCCACGTTGCTAAATTATAAGTCTTCCATGTCTCCAAGCACACCACCTCTCAGAGGAGAAAATTCCATCTAAAATCTTTTACCGTGGAATCAATTTGAGGACAGTTGAAAGGTCCAAGGGAATGACTTAAAATTAAAATTAGGTCATTTATTCACAGAATTTGCCAAGTTACCTTAAAGTAGCCAGTCTGGTATTTTTTTTAACTTTACACAAAAAATGGAAAAGCAATAAAGTCTGAATCAAAACATGAGGTTCATAAATCATCATGTATAGGTAAGCGTTTTCATTGTTTCAAACCGACAGCCAATAAGTCATACAAACATTACTGGTCCACTGGTCTATTTAGTGAAATAGTATATTTGCCTTTCTGGTTTTGTCTGGGTGGTTGATACAGGGCATAATCGAGGCACTCCAGTTCTACAAACACACAGAGGTCAGTGTTGATTAGCCTCTGGCACCACTTTAACATGCTAGTGTTGACAATGCAGCATCTTTCAGCACCCAAAATGTTCCTGTTAGAGTAATGCAGTCTATTTCAAATCAGTCTAACACTTTCAGGCCTGTGTTTGAATCCAATAAAATTTGGATTGACATAGTGCCTCATCTTCCCACTGCTCAGTGACAATAGCACAAAGCAGTCACTCTTCAAGCTTGAGCAGTGCTTTCCAATTGCTATCCTCCATTCTAAATCATTCATTACGTTGCATCTCTCTACCCCATGCAACCCATTTACTGCCAATACCCTCGTCATAGCCAGTCAGGACCATTAGAAAGGTTCCCCGGTCAGCGTCCTGTCCACTGACCTCAGTACATTTATTAAAATCCACACCAAATCCTGTGTGCCCATTACCACTGTGTGTTGTCACAATGTTGATTGGGGCAGGGTACTGGTAATCAAACCCCACTAGTTCATGAATCTTCACAAATATATAAAGCAAAGGTAAAGTCACCTTAGTCCCAGAGGACCACAGGGCTGTTCTCTCATTAGAGAAAGAAATAACTGCTGTATATAAACAACCAATTGAATCACTAAATGGTTAATCTGCCTAATTTTAATTATTGTCTAGGACAAATGACGCATGCCAGGTTTCATCAATAAACAAAAAAGTATATATAATATAGACAAATTTATCCGTTATCAAGTGGAAAGAAACCGATTATTAATGACTACAGTGTAAACTTAAACCCTATCCCACTTAAATGCAAACAGATACTTTCATTCAAAACAAAACAGATGAGACAGCCCTGCAGAAATAGGATGGGCAGAAATCACAGGCAAAAAGGAACAAATTTTCACAGAATCATAGAATCATACAATCAAGTCTACACCTATACATGTGAAACATATGATGTTCAACCTCAACCCATTTACCAGCACTTGGCCCATCGCCTTGAATATTATGTCATGCCAAGTGCTCATCCAGGTATTTTTTAAACAATGTGAGGCAACTTGCCTCTATCACCCTCCCAGGTATTGCAGTGCAGGAGTGTGGTAGCAACAACTGTTACCATACGCGAGGACTTTTGTTGAGTTGGATGTCTAAACTGTTAAACATGCTCTGCTGTAGTTTGTCCTACAGCCAATCCTGTGTTGGATCTCCCAGTCATAGTTTCATAGATTCACCTCACCTCTGGAATTCAGCTCTTTTGTCCATGTTTGAACCAAGGCTGTAATGAGGTCAGGAGCTGAGTGGCCCTGGCGGAACCCAAACTGGGCGTCACTGAGCAGGTTATTGCTGAGCAGGTGCTGCTTGATAGCGCTGTTAGTGACACCTTCCATCACTTTACTGATGATCGAGAGGAGACTGATGGGGCAGTAATTGGTCGGGTTGGATTTGTCCTGCTTTTTGTGTACAGGACATACTTGGACAATTTTCCACATTGTTGGGTAGATGCCAGTGTTGTAACTGTGCTAGAACAGCTTGACTAGGGGAATGGCAAGTTCTGGAGCACAAGTCTTCAGTACCATTGCCGGAATGTTGTCAAGGCCCATAGATTTGCAGTATCAGGGCTTCCAACAGTTTCTTGATATCATATGGAGTGAATCAAATTGGTTGAAGACAGGCATCTGTAATGCTGGGGACCTGTGGAGAAGGCTGAGATGGATCATTCATTCGGCACTTCTGGCTGAAGATTGCTGAGCATGCTTCAGCCTTATCTTTCGCATTGATCTATCAGGCTCTTCCACCATTGAAGATGGGGATATTTGTGGAGCTTCCTCCTCCAGTGAGTTGTTTAATTGTCCCCCACCATTCACAACTGGATGTGGCAGGACTGCAGAGCTTAGATCTAATCCATTGGTTGTGGGATCGCTTAGCTCCGTCTATCACTTACTGTTTATGCAAGTAGTCCTGTTTGGTGGCTTCACTAGTTTGACACCTCATCTTCAGATATGCCTGGTGCTGCTCTTGACATGTCCTCCTGCACTCTCCCTTGAATCAGGGTTGATCCCTGGCTTGATGGTAATGGTTGCGTGGGGGATATGCTGGGCCATGAGGTTACAGATTGTGCTGAAGAACAATTTTGCTGCTGTTGATGGCCCACAGCGCCTCATGGATGCCCAGTCTTGAGTTGCTAGATCTGTGTGAAGTCTGTCCCATTTAGCACGGTGATAGTGCCATACAACACAATGGAGGGTATTCTCAATGTGAAGGTTGGATTTTATCTCTAAAATGTCCATATGGTGGTCACTCCTACTGATACTGTCTGCAGCTGGCAGATTGGTGAGGATGAGGTCAAATATGTTTTTCCCTCTTGTTGGTTCTCTCACCACCTGCCGCAGACTCAGTCTAACAGCTATGTCCTTTAGGACCTGACCAGCTCGATCAGTAGTACTGCTGCCGAGCCACTCTTGGTGGTGGACATTGAAATTCCCTACGCAGAGTGCATTTTAAGCCCTTGCTACCCTCAGTGATCCCTCCAAGTTGTTCAACATGGAAGATTACCAATTCATCAGCCGAGGGAGGACGGTATATGGTAATCAGCAGGAGGTTTCCTTGCCCATGTTTAACCTAAAGCCATGAGACTTCATGGGGTCCTGATGTTGAGGACTCCCAAGGCAACTCCCTCCCAACTGTGTACCACTGTGCCATCACCTCTACTGGGTCAAGAGTACTTTGCAAATCTACTGTTATGGCAGTGGGAAATGGAAATGATTGGGAATACTGCATGACGCATCACAGCATCTTAACCCCTCTCAGTCTGCATGCACCATTCCCTCTGTCAGAGGGGTCTGAAAATCTACAGCACAGTCTCACCTTTTTAACATGGAAATACAGCCATTTAAGATTAATAATCTGTAACAATTTAGAGCAAATCAGTGGAATGTATTTCTAATTTTAAGTAATGTTGCTTCCATATGCTCTGTGTCAATAATACTTATATATTCACTTTGAATATTTGCTTTACAGAAATAGGTCCAGAATCCAATAAGCAGCTTAAATTACTTTACTTATCAAGCAACCTTAATGCACCCCACATAACCTGGTCGGAACTTTTTTTGATATCTGGGTTGTCAATTGCAGTTAGGCAATTATTGAGATATGTTCTTTGGTCTTTTCCCCCTTGTGCTTTAGAGAAGTTTGATTTATTTTTGAACGGGAACTGGGTTAGATAATATCAGAAAGCTATCTTTTCACCCCTGGGATTCATCTCAAAATGAGTTTAGAAAGGTGAAGATGGATGCCAGAAAAAAGTGTTGAATGAAGTAACTTTGGTGATTTTTCTTTGACACCATTTAAAGGGAGGGGAGTAGAGGCTGATGTCCTGAAGCTGTAGAGGCTATATTTGGTCAATGTTGAGAAACATTTAGAAACTGATGACAGGAGCAGGAATGTTGTCACCAGAAAACAAACTTAAGATAACAGTCATTTTTTTATGCGGTTAGTTTTACCATTTGAAATGTACTATCTGAAAGGCTGATGTAAGTAGATTCATTAATCATTTCAAAGGCAAATTGGATAAACACAAAGGAGGAAAAATACTAAGGGCTACAGAGAAAGGGCAGAGGACTGGAACTAACTATTTTGTCTTATCAGAGAGCCAGAAGAGTTGATGGGCTGAAGACCCTATCCTGACATGACTCCAGTGGAGTTGCGCTAGGCCTACAAATAAAACGGACGCTCCGATGGGCTAAAGCCCAGTTTTCCCATCAGATTATCTCCGTCTGCTCCAAATAAAGCAAATTGCACTGAGGGAGAGGAACCAACCGCAGGTAAAGCCTGATTTGGTGATTCTTTGTTGGGCGTAACAGAATTTACACTCAGAGATGCACCAAATATTGCTTCCATGTTGCAATATTAAGTTAGCCCAAATCTTCATCCAATCTCAGAATATGTGCAACTTTAATGTGGGTATAAATCAACGCAAACAACCACCAACCATGCAAAGTGTCAGACCCATACTGGATATTTCTTCTTTAATTGAGCTTAATTTGAGCTTAAATTCTTTGAACCTTTATTCATGCATACAGGACATAGGTATCTGCAATCATGATTTTGATTTGATTTATTATTGTCACATGTACTGCAATACAATGAAAAGTATTGTTTTGCTTGCTATCCAGACAAATCATACCTTACATAAGTACATCAGGGTAATAGAACAGAATGCAGAATATAGTGTTATAGGTACAGAGGAAGATCAACTCTAATATATGAGAGATCCATTCATAAGTCTGATAACAGTGGGGAAGAAGCTTTTCTTAAAACTGTTGATTGCTGTTTTCAAACTTTTGTATCTTCTGCCTGACAGAAGAGGATGGAATAGATTATAACCGGGAAGTGTCTTTATTTATTTTGGCTGCTTTCCCAAGGCAGTGGGAAGTATAGACAGAGTCAATGAAAGGAAGGCTGGTTTGCATGATGGACTGGTTTGCGTTCACAACTCTCAGTAATTTCTTGCAGTCTTAGGCAGACCATTTGCCATACTAAGCTGTGATGTGTATGGATAGGATGCTTTCGATGATGCATCTATAAAAATTGATAAAAGTCATTGTGGACATGCCAGATTTCCTTAGCCTGCTGAGGAAGTAGAGGCACTTGTGTGTTTTCCTGACTGTAGCGTCGACATGGATGGATAGATCGTTGGTGATATCTACTCCTAGGAACTTGAAGCTTTTGACCACCTCCACCTCAGCACCATTGATACAGATTGGGGTGTGCCCTCCACTCTGTTTCCTAAAATCGATGACCAGCTCCTTCATTTTGCTGACATTGAGGGAGAGATTGCTGTCATTACACCATATCACTAAGCTCTCTATCTTTCCTGTACACTGTCTCGTCGTTGTCTGACCCATTACAGTGGTGTCATCAGCAAATTGTAAATGGTGTTTGAGCTGAATTTAGCCACACAGTCATGACAGTGTAAGTTGTACAGTTGTACAGTAAGGGGCTGAGTATGCAGCCTTGCAGGGTACCGGTGTTGAGCATTACCATGGAGGTGGTGTTGTTGCCTATCCTTACTGATGGCAGTCTGCGGGTCAGAAAGTCGAGGATCCAGTTTCAGAGTAGCAGAGTCCTAGGTCTCGGATTTTGTAGATGGGTTTGATTGGAATTATAGTGTTGAAGATGGAGCTAAAGACAATAAATAAGGGTCTGAAGTAAGTGTCCTTGTTATCCAGATGCTCCAGGGATGAGTGTAGAGCCAGGGAGATGGCGTCTGCCATGGACCTAATGTGACAGTAGGCGAATTATAGCGGATCAAGACAATCTGGGAGGCTACAGTTAATGTGTGCAGTAACAGGTGAAATCCAGTAACGTCAAATCTATGTCATTCAGCCCAACAATACCATGCTATTTATGCTTCATACGAATCTCATTCCACCCCTCTTCATTTCACCCTGGCAGCATATCCTTCCAGTACTTTATCTTTCAGTGTGTATCTAGCTTACCCATTGTTGGGAAGATGGTGGCAAAGTGGTAATGGCATGGTTGGTAATCCAGAGACACTCTTAATGTTCTGGGGACAGGGTTCCTTTTCCCAGTATGACAGCCGGTGGGATTTACATTTTAAAGGAAAATCCCGGAATTGAAAGTAGCTCCCAATAATGGAGCGCAGAAAACTATCTTTTTTGAATATATTTAGAACCCATCTGGTTCACTGATGTCTGCTGCCCTTACCAGGTCTGGCCTACATGTGACTCGAGAACAACAGTAATGTAGGTGACTCTTACTTTCGAATGGCCCTAAATGTTATTTAGTTTAAGAGAACTTAATGATGGGCAACAAATGGTGGCCTTGATGATGACATTTACATTCCATCAAAACATACATAAAGATTGCTTTCCAAGGAATTTACCTCAAAATGCTTTAATTTTTCAGTAACATACTGGCTTAATATTTTATTCAAAGTAACAAAATACAGATTAGACGTCAGTGAGGAGATATCTTACAAAGTACAAAAATAATTACACCTTTTGTTGCAACTGCACCTCCTCCCTTAACAAGGAAAGCTGGAGGATTTATTTTATAGTAACTCCTAACTTACTGTTGGTTCAGTCAATGCTGTTCATTATAATGTCATTGATAAAAGAGGGAATGTATATCATTTTAATGTCATAACATTTGCTGCAATATTTAATTGCCAGATTTCCTGTATTGTGGCAGCACATCCCAGACTGAAGGTCTGAGACTTACCTTGATTGATAAACTCCTAAGGCACTCAGATGGCAACCTCAATTTACACAATTTCAGACATGTCTCAGCATCCATCAGGATTGGTCCCAGTACCTTTCATGATGCATGAGAGAAGAGTGCTGATTGGTTAGCAAGTGGACTCTGACTGGTAGAAGTGTTGCCATGGACAATGCAGTTATTAATACTGACTGACAATTAACTGCCAAGCTTTGTTAAAGTTTGAAACAGTGGTATTTGCCTCCTACTGGTCAGGAAAATGCTCTAAGAAATTAACCAGTGAACAAGTAAGTGCAAGGTGCCTGGTACAACTCAACAAACTAGGTGGCAGTCATATAATCAATAGTGACAACAAACTGCCCAATTCACTGAAGTGACTCACACTTAATGTGCTCATCACATAACCAAAACTCTTCCTGTCTTTGGAAAAAGCTTTAACTTTATATTTTCTCATCCCTAGCTTCAGTCTGGTAAAAATCTGATTGACAGTTAACATCTCAATCTGCGAAGATTCTAACTGATGACCCCATATCTTGACACAAGGCTAAGCTAAGCCTGCCTCTAATCTAAATCACCTCAACATGTAGTTCCAGAAAAAAAAATTGTATTTGCCTGAAACATCTTTATCTCAATATTATCATGCTGGATATTTTATACGAAATTCTGTAACTTCAGCCAGTTGTAACTACATGAATCCGAGCTCTGACAGCATAGAACTAGGCACTGGCCTTATTCAACTGAAACAAAAATTACGAGGCCGAGTCCATGTTCTTGATTTGAGCATGTTTATTCCTCACATGACCAAAAGTCGAAAGTTAGGAAAGGAGTTCTCCAGACAGAGATCAAGTTCAAGAACAACTGAAGACTTTGCTTACCACAGTGACGACAACCTGCCCTGGATGAGAGAGCACCCACTCTTTGAACTGTGTCAATTTCCAATCACTTATTCCAAACCGGAGATGCCTAGATTAACATTTAAGGAGAAATATCAGTACCTCTAACCCAGGAGCCAAGGACAGAACACATCATGAGCACTGACACAATAAAGACTAATGTTATTCTAGCAGAGTTATTATTGTGTGAATAAAAACTGAAAGATCTGTAGATGCTATAAATCAGAAACACAAACAGAAGATTTTTTGGGAAAGTTCTGAGGAAGCGACACAGGACCCAAAACATTAACTCTGATTTCTCTTCACAAATGCTGCCAGACCTGCTGAGTTTTTCCAGCACTTCTGTTTCTGTTATTATTGCGTGACTTGCCCCAAGAGATTTGATTGAGATAATGATGGATGCATGAACCAATTCAATGGAAAATGTTGACTTTTTCTTTGCAAGTGATGGATATTAAAGAACTGTAATGGCAAGAATGAAGATAGGCAATATAAACAAAATGCCACAATTTCAAGAGAACAGAAAGACCTGGGAGTTTATAAACAGTGGTCTTGAAAGCTGGCAGAACAAATTTGTTAAAAGGCATAAGGAATCCTTGGTTCTATAGATAGAGATAAAGAGTACAACAACAAAGAAATTAAGCTAAATATTTACAAGGGTTACCACCAGCCCATAGCTGACTGATTTTTATGGGACTTCAATTATGTGGACAGAAACTGGATTATGTGGACTCCCAGTCAGCAACTCCCATCCCATACAAATTAGAAGCTGAAGTCAGCTATTTGCCACCTCAAGCATAGTCCGCTATTCAATAAGAAGATGGCCAAGTTGTGTGTGATTTGAATTCCACATTCCTTTCAACCCCAGTAATCTTTGATTCCCCGACACAACAAGAATCTATGGAGCTCCACAAAGTATTCAATAATCCTACCTTGAAACACTTCTGAGGCAGAGTTTCAAAGTTGCACAAGCCTCTGAGAGAACAAATGTTTCATCATCACTGTTCTAAAATGGTAACTCGTAATTGTTAAACAGTGCCGCCTTAAGACTCTTTAGGATCTTGTACACCACAATTAAGTCACCCGTTACTTTTTTAAACTCTCGTGGAAATAAATTCAGTTTGTCAAACTATCCTCATGGTACTCAATCCAGGTCAAGTCAAGTCAAGATGCCATAATCTTACCAAACCATTGGGCTGCTCTCTGATAGAGAGAGTTGACTGGCGGTATGAGTTAACCTGAGGGTCACCATAACTCAGCCAAGGGGAGAGATTCATAGATTCATGCAGCTCAGAAAAGGCCCTTTGGCCCACTGAATCTCATAGACATAACTACCACGAAAAGTGCGCTAATCCCAATTTCCTGCACTTGTCCCATATCCCTGAATGTTATGATATTTGAAGTACTCATCCAAATATTTTTTAAGGTTGTAAGGTTTCCAGCAGCCAATACTTTCCCGGGCAGTGCGTTCTGGATTCCCACCATCCACTTTTTCCCAAATCCCCTCTGAATCTCCTGCCTCTTACTCCAAAACTATGCCCTCTTGTGATTGACCCCTCGAGCGAGGGGAACAGCTGCACTCAATTCACCATGTCTATACCCCTCATAATCTTGTACACCTCAATCATGTCCCCTTTCAGTCTTCTCTGCTCTAAAACAATCCAAGCTTACCTAGTCTCTCCTTCTCGCTCAATTTCTCCATCCCAGGCAATATGCTAATGAATCTCCTCTGCACCCCCTCTAGTGCTATCACATCCTTCCTGTAGTGAGGTGACTAGAACTGCATACAGTACTCCAGCTGTGGTCTAACCAACGCTCTGCACAACTTCAACATTATCTCCTCGCTCTTATACTCTATGCCATGACTGATGAAAGCAAGTGTCCCATATTCTTAACTATCTTATTGACATGCTCTACCAACTTCAGTGATCTGTGAATAATTACCTCAAGATCCCTCTGTTCCTCTAAGCTGCCCAGCGTTCTGTCATTTGTTAAATACTCCCTCATCTTGTTTCTTCTTCCAAAATGCATCAGCTCGCACTTATCAGGGTTAAATACTATCTGATATTGGTCTGCCCGTGTGACCAATCCATCTATATCTTTCTGTAACCTACAACCATCTTCTTCACTATAAACCATTTTACCAATTTTGGTGTCATCGGCAAATTTACCGAACATTCCCCCCACATTTTTATCTATATCATTTATGTAAATCCATAGAATCCCTACACTGTGGAAATAGGCCATTCAGCCCCATGGGTCCACACCGACCCTCTGAAGAGCATCCCACCCAGACCCATCGTCCAACCTATCCTTGTAATCCTGCATTTCCCATGGCTAACCCAACTGCACTCCTGAACACTATGGGCAATTTAGCATGGCCAATCCACCTAACTCACATGTCTTTGGGCTGAGAGAGGAAACCAGAGCACCCGGTGGAAACCCACACAGACACGGGGAGAATGTGCAAACTCCACATGGACAGTCATCCAAGGGTGGAATTGAACCTGGTTCCCTGGTGCTGTGAGGCAGTCACGCTAACCGCTGAGTCACCATGCCATCATCGTATATGACAGAGAATAAGGGGTCCCAGTACTGATCTGTATGGTACACCGCTAGACACCGGCCTCCAGTCACTCAAACAGCCTTCTCCCACTACCTTGTGTCCTATTAGTAAGTCAGTCTGATCCGTCTCGCCAAGTTTCCCTCAATGCCATGTGCTTTAACCTTCTCAGTCAGTCTCCCATGTGGGACCTTGTCCAAAGCTTTGCTAAAATCATATAAACTACGTCAATTGAACTTCCCTCATCCACACTCTTGATCATATTTTCAAAGAATTCTAACAAATTTGTCAGGCATGACCACGCTCTGACATAGCCATGCTGACTATCCCTAATTAACCCATGCCTTTCCAAGTGGGTATTAACTCGCTATTCCAGAATTTTCTCCAATAGCCTTCCTGCCACTGATGTGAGATTCACCAGACTATAACTTCCTGGTTGATCTCTACCACACTCTTAAAAAGGTGAACCACATTAGCCATCCTTCAGTCCCCTGGCACTTCCCCTGTGGCCACAGAGAAATTAAAAATGTGTTAGAGCCCCTGCAATTTCCTGCCTTGCCTTCCACAGCAGCCTGGGATGCATGCCCCCTCTGCCTGCAATGTGACCATCCCACTAAACATGCTGCTCACAACATGCTCAGCATTGCAGATGCCCCACCACTAAATTAGTTAAACATTATTTCCTTTTCACAAAACCATGTTGTCTCTTACTGATTACCTTGAGATTTTAAGTGTGCAGCTCTGATCTCTTTAATAATCAAACACCTTCCCCAGGACAGCTGCCTCACAGCACCAGCAAGCCAGGTTCAATCCTAACTTCGGGCAACTGTCTGTGTGGAGTTTGCATATTCTCCTCATGTCTGCGTGGGTTTCTGCTGGGTACTCCAGTTTCCTCCCACAGTCCAAAGATTTGCAAAATTGTGGATTGCCATGAGAAATGTGGGGTTACAAGAATTGGAGTGGGGTGGGGTAGAGGGAGAAGATCTGGCTGGATTACTCAGAGGTTTGGTGCAGAGCCAATGGGCTGAATGGCCTCTATCTGCACTGTAGGGATTTTATGATTTTATAGCCCTCAGTCCATATTATGCACGAGGAGAAATTCACAATTCTTTCATCCTTCCCCAGTTTTCTGCATTGTCTTTATTCTAAACACTGAGTTACAGTCTGACCACTGAGTAACAAGGAGCATTCCCAAAGAACAATGCTATGCCTCCTGATCATTCCCTTCTTCAACCATTTCTTAACCAAGTTGTTATACACCTTTTGCAGACAGAAAAGATTTTCCCTTTAAAGGGTTCTGGCTACTGTTAAGTATTATGAACTCGTGGCAAATTCCAGATAATGAATACTACTGGTTGTAATCACAAATTGTTGCTGATAGCACCATGGATATTTTATGCCAGGCTGATTCATGCAGCTCATTAATGCCTGGGCCTCATGCCCTAGTTTCAGTTGTAATTCAATTTATAAGCACTTACTTTTTCACAGACTCAAACATGGAACTTTCCACATTTCCCAGCCATTGTTCAATGGGTCCCCGAATTCGAACATTCCTGCACAAAATAAGTTTAATAATGTTATCAGGACACAAGAATCTGTGATGAAGCTTCATAATATCGAATATAATGTGGGAAATTGAGAGAAATAATCTGTGGCTTTAAGTTTGAAGCAAAAACAGAAATTGCTGGAAAATCACAGAAGGTCTGGCAGTATCTGTGGAGAGAAAGCAGAGTTAACATTCTGGGTACAGTGACCCTTCTTCAGAACTGATTGTGGCTGGGAAAAGGTTGGTGTACATGCTGAAGATGGGATGGGGGAGGAGGAAAGAGTAAAAGATAGGTGGAGTTGGAGCCTAGAGAGACTCCATGACTCTATCACAGTTGGGCAGATAAAGGAATGGGTAAAGATCAGCCTGGGAGAATGAATAGCTGCTAATGGGGACCATTAGAGGCTGGCAATGGGTTGTTTGTGGTAGAGGCACATGTGATAAAAAAGCTTGGTGTGTGGGTGGATTAGGCAAAGGACATGGAAGAAGGCGTTCAGGCTGTGAAATTATTGAACTTGATATTGAGTCCTGAAGGCTGCAGTGTTCTGAAGCAGAAAATAAGGTGTTGTTCTTCCAGCTTGCACTGAGCTTTGCTGGAACACTGCTGCAAGCCTGAGACAGAGATGTTGGCTGGAGAACAGGGTGGTGTGTTAAAGTAGCAGGCAAACAGGTAGCTCAGGGCCTTTTTTGCAGAAAGAATGTAGATGTTCTGCGGAGCGGTCACCCAATCAGCATTTTGTCTCCCCAGTGTAGAGTAGACCACGTTGTGAGCAGCCAATACAGTTGACTAGATTGGGTAAAGTGCAGGAAAATCACAGCTTCACCTGGAAGTTGTGTTTGGGGCCTTGGATAATGAGGAGGGAGGAGGTAAACGGACAGGTATTACACCTTCTGTGGTTGCAGAGGAAGTTGCTGTGGGGCTGTGAGGAGGTGCTGGGAGTGGAGGAGGAGTGGATCAGGGTGTGCCTGAGGGAATGGTTCCTGCAGAAGGCTGACAAGGGAGGGAAGGGGCATATTTATCTGGTGGTGTCATGCCACTGATGGAAATGGTGGCTAACAATCCTTTGGATGTGGTTGTTGGTGGGATGGTAGGTGAGGACGAGGGTACCTCTATCACTGTTGTTGGAGGGAAGAGATGGACTGCGGGCCAAAGTGCAGCAGACAGGCCGGGCATGGAGGGTCCTGTCAAGTATGGTACTGGTGAATCCTCAGTTGAGAAAGAAAGTGGACATTTCGGAGGCCCCCTTGTCAAAGTTGGCATCTGCAGAACAGATGTGACAGAGACGGAGAAGTAAGGAGAATGGAATAGAGTCTTACAGGAAGCAGGGTATGAAGATGCATAGTCCAGGTAACTATGGGAGTTAGTGGGTTTGTAGTGCATATTGGTGGCCAGCCTATCCCAGAAATAGAAGCAGAGATATTGAGGAAAGGTGACAGCAGGGTGGAAAATTGGTAGTAAAATTGATCAATTTTTGTAATTCTGGACAAAAGAGGGAAGCAGCACTGATGATGTCCCCGCACAAGGAAAGTTCCAAAGAGACGGGCAAAACCGGGACCACACGGGTACCCATGGTCACCCCTTTGACCTGAAGAAAGTGGGAGGTTTTAAAAGTGAAACTTGTTCAAAATGAGGACAAGCTCAGCCAGGTGGAGAAGGGCTTTTTTTCAGAAAGAAGTGGAGAACCCTGAGACCATCCTGGTGGGAGATAGCCATGTAAAGAGATTGCACATCCATGGTAAACAGAAGGTGACTGGAACCAGCAAACTGGAAATTCTGAAACTGATATAAAGTGTCAGAAGAATCACGGACGTAAGTGGGAAGGGACTGGACAAGGGGAGAAAGAAAATAAAGTTGAGCTACGAAGAGATGAGTTTTGTGGGGCAATTTGATTTAAGTTTGATTTGTATTTCTATACTCTTGCATGTTAAGACGGAAACACAACTGGTCACTTCTTTGAAAGATTCAATCAGCTTAGTCAGACATGACTTCCCCTTGTCAAACCATGCTGACTGTTTATAATTAATCCCTGCTTTTCCAAATGCAGATTAATTCTGTACCTCAGAATTGCTTTTAATAGTTTTCTCACCACCAAGGTCAGACTGACTGTGGCTTCCTGGTTTATCCCATGCTCCTTTCTTGAATAAAGGTGCTAATTGGCTGTCCTCTAGTCCTCCAGCACCTCTCCTGTGGTCAGAGAGGAAGTGAAAATGTTGCCCAGATATAGTTTTGCTATCCAAAAGCGAGACAAATCTAACCCAGCTAATTGTTGTCCCATCAGTTTACTCTCAATCATCAGCTACGTGATGGAAAGTGGATAGCAAGCTCCCCTCCAAACCACTCACCATCCTGACTTGGAAATATATTGCCTTTCCTTCAGTGTCACTGTGTCAACATCCTAGAAATCCCTCCCAAACAACACACAACATAGATGCAGTCGTTCAACAAGGCAGCTTACCATCACTTTCTCTGGGGCAAGTAGGGATGGGCAATAAATGCTGACCCAGCCAACAATACCCATGTCTCATTAACAAAAAATGGAAAAGTAGACAGTGCTATCAACGGCACTAACGCAACAATGACTGGCTCATTGATGCTCGGTTTGAATTCATGACCTCAGTGTTATAAAGACACTTCATATTTAATGTTTCTTGGACTTAAATTTTGATTTCATTTGATTTGATTTATTTATTGTCATGTGTACCCGAGTACAGTGAAAAGCTTTGATTATGAGCAGTACAGTCAGATCTTTGTGGAAAATTGAATTTACTTCAAGTTTTGCGGAAAAAAACCTGGTGTGGATGTTGTTTGATGAAGGTTAACTTGCACATTTACATTTCAGCAACTGTCATTAGAGCAAGGCTCATAAAAGTAGAACCCGAGGTTCCCATTTCACAACCACATTCCACTACAAGCATTGGAAGACACTGGTTCACAGCTGTCAAATTTGCACACTCAACTGCAAGAACATAGTTCATGACATAGTAAGAAGACTTTCCTTGTGGAGTGGTTGGGGTGCTATCATGGTGGCTATCGGTAGAATTCAACTCTCAGTATATTGAAACTTTGGTCGTGCAATGTAGAATTGGATAAGGTCACATATCTCAGAGCTCTTTATGGATGTGTGACAATTACCTGTGGGAAGCCTCCATGCCACACTGTGTAACTGTATAGCATGAGGCTTCAATGCGATGCATGTGAGCACTCAGGAGTTTGTTCAAAAAAATTGCATTAACCTTCTGGCACTTGCAGAAGGTGATCTGTTCACGGGTCTTACGTGGAGAATGCTGTTTCTGAAGTCATTATGGCCTGGGTTCAACTACAAAGACAGCACAGAAGGAGACAGTGATAACAACTTTGTCAGCAAACCCAGCAGGAGCAGGAATGTCCAGCAGCTGCCACACAGCCTCCTACAGACAGAAGTGACAGACAAAAGTACTCTAAGGAGGTAGCAGCTGTTCAAAACCATCCTGCATGTCGAAGCGAATCAAGCAGCTTGGGCAGTGGGATTCTTCACCATCCCTAGCTTCCCCAAGCTGCAGGGCAATTGCACCTACAATTCACCCATGCCACCTCTGTTCCCCAGTAAGTTGGCTTCTTCTTCTGTTTCCCACTAAACCCAAGTGCAGCCCTACCTTTCTCAGTTGAGGTGGAATTAGTCTGCTTGGCCTTGTTGGCACGGAAGACTCAACTGGTCATCACCAATGCCTTTGAGCTTAGAGAGCCCAGGCCTGCTGGCAATCTCCAGCCCAGATTTAGGCTCACATTGCTTGGCTTCAGGTTTCAGGAGCATAGGCTGAAGGAGAAGGAGGAAGGGCCAGGTATCTCTGCAGTGGGTCCTAAGAAGCTGCTGCTGGGGATCCTAAAAAGGGGCACTTAGATTGAGGCCACATTCATGTCTTGCCTTAACATTAATGTTGAGCACCAACAACTCCAGTGATATTTTGCAGATCCAGGTGTATATCTAGCATGTCCTGAGTGTTCTGGATTTCAGTCTTCACCAACCTCTCCATGGAGATCATCAAACCCATGCATGCTGCAGCCAGCAGGGTACAGATAACTTTGGTACACTCCTTCACTCTTGTTCTGGATTACCTTTATTGTCTGACAAACCGGCCTGATGTTTTTGAGCTGCTCTGCGTGTTTTGACCAAGTCATTAATGGTGGAGACCATGGATTGTTTTCTGTCAGGAGCTACGCAGATTACTAGTCTCCTGCAGTCCTCTGACTGCCAATGATCTGGGCATTTCTTTTTTGACTAGCTGCAGAACAGTGATGTGCTCACCAGATTGTGCTAGCCAAAGTCTAACCTAAGTAGAGTACCCACCAAGGTGAAAGTCTGAGTTGATGGAAGGTGCATGTGAAAGCCTCGCTAGACACAATCTTCGGAAGGTTCATGAGCTCCTCCTCAGAGCTGGGGGTGAAGCCGAAGGTCTCCAGAATTGGGTTGAAGATGAATAAAAATTGTGTAGATTAACAATACGTTTGCACTGCTAGTAATAAGAAAACAATGCAACACAGCATAAAGAAACTTTCTGGGTTGGTTGCCCATTGACGTCTCTCCATCCTAATGTGAACAGTCATACCCTTCTCAAGCTAAATCCAAAATTTCCTCCTGATAGGAATGTAGATCCTCTTGTCCACCAACTCCACCCATCTGCTCACCAGTCTTGAATCTCCCAGCCCAGTTACGGGCCAATATTTTCCTGCAATGAGATAAAGGGAGGGTTTGGGTATGATGGAAGTAGATGGGCAAACAGGTAATGGTGATGCAGGACCAGGAGAGGTGGTGAGGTCTAGGAAGCATGGCAGGCAGGGTTTGTAGTTTGGGAGGATGATGTGGCGATGAGCCCTCAAGTGAATAGGCTGCATGTAATAATGAGAGTTGTAGCCCTTAAGCCTTGGTGAAAGACATGTGCAGTGGAAGAGTTAGTGTGAGTCATGGCCCTGTGAGTGTGAAGTTGCAAAGAGATAGTGGCACTTCCACTTGTGGACTGTAGGTCACTAATCTTCTTGCTGTCCTATTGGGCAACCTTTTTCCTTTGGGACACAGCACTGACCTGGGCTGTAATTTGCCTCCAGGTGGTCTGGTGGCATGGCCTTATGTGGTAGACTGCTAGAAAAAGGACTGTCCTCCCCATCTACCAGCCCATCCACTAACATGTCTAAGTCCCCGTCCATGAAGCAGAGTATGAGCTTTCCCTTCCTCTGAAAGCATGTCCTGAATGTTGAGGATCAAGCACCACAGTGACAGGGACAGACCCTGGCTTGTGGTGTTTGAAATTTTGGGCAGCTGGGTTTTCAACACAATGCCAGTGGCATTAACACTGGCAAGTCTTGGTGACTAAACTAGAATCTCAAAAATAACAACAGCAGAAATAAAAGAAAACCAAAAGGTAAGAAAAATGTCCAGATCCTCAACGTCTAAGTCTTATCTCTATAAAGGTGTTTGGAATAACCAATGCAGACACCCAGATCTAGCCACAGCCTGAAGTCTCCGTCAGCCTGTGAGTCTCACAATGATTGCTGGGAGTAGCTCCGCTCTTGCCACTGCTGCATCCCATCACTGGAGGAGTTTTGCCACTGCTGCTGCCACCGCCAGCCCCAAAGGCTGGGAGGACATCCTTGCTGCCTCCTCCAATCATGGGGAGGATCCACGTCCACTGCCATTCCGTGCATGCTCTGCTCTCATTGCCATGCGGATGCCACTGATTAACCTGCTACAAAAGGCTTTAACGAAAAGAAAAACAGGACTATCTCCAAGGCATAAGTCAGGAGTGTGATGGAATACTCCCCACTGGCCAGGATGATTGCAGCTCCAATAACACTCAAGAAGTTTGACGCCATCCAGGATAAAGCAGCCTGCTTGATTGGCACCACATCCACAAGCATCCACTCCCTCCACCCCCGACACTCAGTAGCAGCAGTGTGTACTATCTACAGGATACACTGCAGAAATTCACTCAAGATCCTTAGATAATACCTTTCAAAATTCATGACCTTCCATCTAGAAGCACAAGGGCTGCAGATACATGTGAACACTCCCCTCCAAGCTACTCTCCATCTTGACTTTGAAATATATTGTCATTCCTTCACTTTCGCTGGGTCAAAATCCTGGAATTCCCTCCCTGAGGGCCTTATGGGTCTATCTCTTGTCTATGAGACCTACCCATTTATTATTTGTTGCTCATGAATTCACTGGCTAGGAATGATCATCTGAAAGAAAAGGTATTTTCTGATCAACCTGTTCAAATGTGTTATGCCATACCTCTGTAGTCAGTGGGAATATAAACTGGGTCTGTTGGCCCAGCAGATTGTTTTGCTGCTAAATGGGTGTCAATTTGACAGAGTTGTGTGTACTCTGTCTGTGCTCTCTATGTCCATGTCTCTTTGATTCTTGACCATGCAAGACCAAAATGGATGGCAAGGGGAGTGAAAATGAAGGAACTCACACAAAGCGAAGAAATTGTATTAATTTAGGTAATACCTTGGCATGGGAAGATTCTCATTTTCTGCAGACTTGATCATAACCACAGTGGGAGGTCTGGTAGCTTGCTTCACAATCTCCAGAGATCTGATATTTTCAAAACACTTGGCTAAATGAGGCTAAGGAAACAATGAAAAAAAATCAATATCTCAATCAATATAGTTAAAATTGCTAATGAGGAGCTCCTGGAGGGAGTGACATTTCCCAACTTTTATTAAGGGAATGATAGAATGATGTAGCACAGGAGGCCACTCATATCATGTGATGGTCGCAACTCTGAAAAATGTCTCTCATTAGTTCCCTCCCCAACTCCACCTTTTCCCCATATCTCTGCAGATTATCCCCCACTCAAGTCTTTATTTAACTGTCTTTTGAAAGTCTCTACTGAATCTGTTTTCATTACCCTTGAACACAATGAGTTATGGATCACACTCCCTCTGTGAAATGACGTATTCCTCATGCAGCCTCTGGTTCTTTTGTGAATGATCTTAAATAAAGTTGGTTTAAAAGAAGGATCAATTACTGTCTAAGGGCATCCAATTAATTGAAATCAGAAGCATTTGTAAAACAAATAAAATTTGCCAGAAAATAGAAACAAATTAATTTTATATAGTGAGATAACAAGGTGTAGAGCTGGATGAACACAGCAGGCCAAGCAGCATCATAGGAGCAGAAAGGCTGACGTTTTGGGCCTAGACCCTTCATCAGAAATGGGGGAGGGGAAGGGGGATCTGAAATAAATAGGGAGAGAGGGGAGGCGGATAGAAGATGGATAGAGGAGAAGATAGGTGGAGAGATGACAAACTGGTCAAAGAGGCGGGGATAGAGCGAGTAAAGGTGAGTGTAGGTGGGGAGGTGGGGAGGAGATAGGTCCGTCCAGGGAGGACGGGCAGGTCAAGGGGGCGGGATGAGGTTAGTAGGTAGGAGATGGGGGTGGGGCTTGAGGTGGGAGGAGCGGATAGGTAGGAGGAAGGACAGGTTAAGGAGGCGGGGATGAGCTGGGCTGGTTTTGGGATGTGGTCGGGGGAGGGGAGATTTTGAAGCTTGTGAAGTCCACATTGATACCATTGGGCTGCAGGGTTCCCAAGCGGAATATGAGTTGCTGTTCCTGCAACCTTCGGGTAGCATCGTTGCGGCACTGCAGGAGGCCCAGGATGGACATGTCATCTGTGGAATGGGAGGGGGAGTTGAAATGGTTTGCGACTGGGAGGTGCAGTTGTTTAGCGCAAACCAAGCGTACGTGTTCTGCAAAGCGGCCAGAGAGGAGTGTGGAGCGGACAAGGGAGTCACGGAGAGAGTGGTGTGAGGGATGAGTTGCGGGAAATATGGGAGACACGTTCGAGAGCGTTCTCGACTACTGAGCGGGGGGGGGGCGGAAGAGTCTCTTTCAATTCCTCCCACTTCCTACAGACAAAGGGGGTGGCCATGGGTACCTGCATGGGCCCAAGCTATGCCTGCCTCTTTTGTAGGTTACGTGGAACAATCCCTCTTCCGTACCGACACTGGCCCTAAACCCCACCTCTTCCTCCGTTACATTGATGACTATATCGGCGCCGCCTCGTGCTCCCACAAGGAGCTCAAACAGTTCATCCACTTCACCAACACCTTCCACCCCAACCTTAAGTTCACCTGGACCATTTCTAATACCTCTCTCTCCTTCCTGGACCTCTCTGTCTCCATCTCCGGCAACCACCGAGAAACCGATATCCATTTCAAGCCCACCAACTCCCACAGCTACCTAGAATACACCTCCTCCCACCCACCTTCCTGCAAATATGCCACCCCCTATTTCCAAATCCTTCGCCTCCGCCGCATCTGCTCCCAGGCTGAGACATCCACACCCGTACATCTCAGATGTCCTCGTTTTTCAAGGACCGCAACTTCCCCCCCTCAGTGGTCGAGAACGCCCTCAACCGTGTCTCCCACATTTCCCGCAACTCATCCCTCACACACCCTCCCCGCAATAACTACCCAAACAGAATCCCCCTCGTCCTCACATACCACCCCACCAACTTCCGGATTCAATGCATCATCCTCCGACACTTCCGCCATCTGCAATTCGACCCCACCACCAAAGACATTTTCCCCTCTGCCTTCCGGAAGGACCACTCTCTCCGTGACTCCCTTGTCCGCTCCACACTCCCCTCCAGCCCCACCTCACCCGGCACTTTTCTCTGCAACCGCAGGAAGTGCTACACCTGCCCCCATACCTCCTCCCTCATCCCCATCCCAGGCCCCAAGAAGACTTTCCACATCAAGCAGATGTTCACCTGCACATCTGCTAATGTGGTATACTGCATCCGCTGTTCCCGTTGTGGCCTCCTCTACAACGGGGAAACCAAGCGGAGGCTTGGGGACCACTTTGCAGAACACCTACGCTTGGTTCGCACTAAACAACTGCACCTCCCAGTCGCGAACCATTTCAACTCCCCCTCCCATTCCTCAGACGACATGTCCATCCTGGGCCTCCTGCAGTGCCACAACGATGCTACCCGAAGGTTGCAGGAACAGCAACTCATATTCCGCTTGGGAACCCTGCAGCCCAATGGTATCAATGTGGACTTCACAAGCTTCAAAATCTCCCCTCCCCTGACCGCATTCCAAAACCAGTCCAGCTCGTCCCCGCCTCCCTAACCTGTCCTTCCTCCCACCTATCCCCTCCTCCCACCTCAAGCCCCATCCCCATCTCCTACCTACTAACCTCATCCCGCCCCCTTGATCTATCCGTCCTCCCTGGACGGATCTATCTCCTCCCTACCTACACTGACCTTTTCTGGCTCCATCCCCGCCTCTTTGACCGGTCTGTCGTCTCTCCACCTATCTTCTCCTCTATCCGCCTCCCCCTCTCTCCCTATTTATTTCAGATCCCCCTTCCCCTCCCCCATTTCTGAAAAAGGGTCTAGGCCCGAAACGTCAGCCTTCCTGCTCCTCTGATGCTGCTTGGCCTGCTGTGTTCATCCAGCTTTATACCTTGTTATCTTAGATTCTCCAGCATCTGCAGTTCCTACTATCTCTGAAATTAATTTTATATGGTATCAGTTTTGGTGAATACTATCACACTTAAGGAATAGAATTCTCAGGGTTGGCAACATTTTGCTGCTCCAAAATGTTCGTTACATCCTTCATCTTCTATTCATAAGGGAATACAAGCCTAGTCCATTCCATCCATCCTTCATTACTGAAGCCTTTTAGTCCGAGTTTATTTCTTCTTACCCGTATAGCCTCAGGATTTTTGCTTTGAGACAGGATATCCAGCAGTTCACTGTTGCTGAGGAAATAAAAACGTGGGAAAGCAATCCGTTTGGCTTCCAAGTAATCCTGAAACAATAGCACATTGGTTTCGTTCACAGTCGGGTTCAGTTTCACTTAATTCATCTAAACAGGAATACTCACAGCAGAGATTCTAACAGAATCACAGAATGAACAGGAGGAATGTCAGACCTGATCAGCTACTCAATTAATCCCACTCTCTTTGCTTTTTCCTCACTGCCTTTCCAAGCATTCATCCAATTCCCTTTTGAAAGTTCTATTGGAACCTGCTGCCATCACTATTGCAGGCAGTACATTTCAGTTTGCAACAATTTGCTGGAAATCAATGGGCCAGGTTTTCTAAGGAGTGGCTCCCCTCACAGATTACCATTCTGCCCTGTCTTTTTCAAAACAAACCCAGAGAGTTTCACATTTTTGACAGGAGATTCCCATCAGGTTTCCTTCAGAAATTCAGAGTCATGTTTCATAATGCAGAACTGTCAGGGGAAGACGAACCACGCTCCTTACCATAGCAGTCAGCTGCCATATTCTGAAGTTTTCAGGTCCTGACAGCTGTGTTGACAGCTGCTAACAACCAGTAAGTACATAACGTAAGTGTGAGGTTGGGCTGCCAGGTGGGATAAGGTGCCAAGTGAGTAGGGGAAGATGCTAAATGGATAAGATGCCAAGAAGGAAGGGTACCAAGTGGATATGATGACAAGCGAGTCACATGTAGAGTGTCAAGTGGGTAGAGTTAGAATTAGGTTTTATTGTCATGTGTACTCAATTACAGGGATACATGAGCACAGTGAAAAGTGCACACAATCATCATTTCCAGCACCACCTTAGGTACAAAGATAACAAGGTGTAGAGCTGGATGAACACAGCAGTCCAAGCAACTTCAGAGGAGAAGGAAAGCTGACATTTCGGGTCTGGACCCTTCTTCAGAAGAAGGGTCCAGACCCGAAACGTCAGCTTTCCTGCTCCTCTGAAG